AAAAAAAAAAAAAAGTAACTTCTCGTGACGTAAATGCACGAGCGCATTTTACCGCTCAACTTCAGATTTTCCGAGGCGACCGGTATTAGCGACCCGACGCGTCCGAGGTCGTCTATTTTTACGACAAATAAAAATATTTTATTAAAACAAACGCGCGGAAAGAGAGTACCAGTGGTATAACGCGCTGCACAGAGGCGCGGTGCATGGCGCCCTCGGTTATGAAACTTTCATATCCGAGACCGTATGCTCACCGGTAACGCAGAGTTAAAGGCAACATAGAGATCCTGGGAAGGTCGAAAGGCACGGTTTATCTGTCCTTAGAGAGCGATGCGGGGTTCCTTTTAGATTACGAGTACTTTACGTATTGTACGTATATACCGGACGATTGTAAAGTTTCGTAAAGCCTCCCGCGAAACATATATCTACTTTTTTATGTATGTATAAAGACGCGTATCTCTTATCGTAACGCACTAGAATAATATTCGGAATTTCATCTAATTGTTTCGATTAACGGCGAATAAATGACAGAAAAAGAAATTATCGATATTATTTTCTCCTCTGCTAGGTTTGCTGTCTTAATTAAATACTTTATTGCGCAAGTGTATGTACATCTACAATATAGATCCTCATTTTTCGGAAAGAATTCCTAACACGCTACTTCATCTACCGGCGAGCTAAAACTACCCCTAGTCAAATACGACGAATAAGAGAGGGATGAGAGAGCGAACAACAACATTACGACAACTCTCGAGAATAACAGCGGCAGCACGCGTTGTCCGCAGTTGAAATCCTCTTTCCTTTAGAGGGAAGAGTAAATATTACTGTGGAGCTCGTACGATAGTTTCGTAAATAAAGCGTAACCACGTGCGTCACGAACATAATGCGATTCTCGATCATATTAACACTCTTGCGGATTTACTAGTATTTGATTTTATAAATGCGTTTTTCTCGATAACTCCTGGTAATATTTTTTTTAAAGATTAGATAGAAAATTTTATTATTCCACACGTATAGAAATAAAAATAATATATTTTTGTAGACAGCATTTATCGAGGAATTAACGCGCACGTTAATTGTAATAAGATTTTTTCGAATAGGTGATAACGATTATTTAAGTGGAAGACGTGCCGCGAGATAGCCCGTATATTACGCAAAGTTTATCACGGGTCATACCAAAATGAACGTGCCAGCTACACGTGTCGGGTTAACCATTAATTCAGGCTTACTCATACACAATTCAAATGCAGCCCGAAACCATAGCGATACGAGCTCGCCGTCCTCTAATTTAAGCCACATCACAAGAGCATCGCACGTTGATTAGCCTAGGCAAATGATTGGTGATACGTACGCCCGGTCGGCTATCTCGTCGGTAAGCATAGCTTATTTACACAAGGACCATGGTACTCCGCGTTTGCATTCAGTAGTAAGAAGCTGCAGATCCCATTACACGAGTACAATACATAAGTCGCTACGTAAATACATTGAGTTTTACATATGCGCTGCTTCTGTGATGTTTCTGAGTTGTCAATGTTATGCTAGTATTATAAATATTACGCCGTTAAATAATATATAAATTAACAATGCTAAAAAAGAGAAGTTTTCTTCTCATTTTTTATTACTTAATAAAATATCGAAATCAAATATATAATAATATTATCTTGAATTGCTATTAAATAAAATTATAAGTTGAGGAATTAATATTTGTTTCCGATTAGTAGTAAAAATAAAATTCTATTGAAATTCGTGTACTTACCGAGTATTCAGGAAGCGGAATTCTACTCTCCATCGATTTCTCCTCTCATTGTCAGTACGGACGCGGGCTATTCCTACTCTGATATACCTATCGGATTACAATCTGCTACCTCTTCGCAATCGCAGCGAGTCCATGAAGGAATGAAGAGAAATCCAGTTATCGTATACTTTGCACCCATGACACCAATAATTTGATTAGCGCCAAATCTCCGTCGATTGATCCAATTACTAGATCGACCAAGCCGGTTATATATCACTGAAAATGATAAAAGAGAAAATTATTAAAAATTATAAAAGATGGAAATAAAATACATATATGTAATCTCGCGAGTAAAAGTGGAAAAAGCGCGAATTATACGCCCCAATAAATGTTGCGAGCGCAAGTACAGTAGATTGATCGTCAGTCGTCAACGATTTCATGATCTTCTATTGTACGGCGAAATTTATAGGGCATTTTTCGCATTTTCGCCTTCCCTACTTATGTGTTTTCTCTTATCTATTCCCTAGCGTGAAACGCGGTGACTTAGGTGATATAAAAGAAATGGGCAATCGAAGGAAACATTCAAGGAGACAGAGAATCGTAAAGCTATTTCGTCGGAGTATCGCGAAGCACATTCAAGTTTATGGAATAGTATATAGTATATCCGGTGGACGCATATGAACGGAAGAAAGCGGAGAAATGGTTGTGCACTATGAAACATAGCTGAATTAAAAATGAATTAAAAAGAATTCATTCTGCGAAATCGAATATCTAATTTTTAACTCAGAGAACTTCAGTTTATTTATTTTAAACGTAATAAAATATTTCTTTCTTTCAATCAAATTGCGAATTAAGAGATTAAAATGGAAAGACATTTTAATAATGTTAAAACCAATTACCCAGATTTTATAAAAAAGATTAAGGAATCATTCTATATTTTTTGCAATAACAGCTTGAGGAATAAGTGATATATTAGTATTAATGATTTATGTTTTTATAATACCCACAGATCTTACGCTTGCAATTGAAATCTCGGCGACATAGTAAATCGTGTATAATCGCCAGATCTCCCTATTCTCCATATAGGTGAGCATCTAGGTTACGGTGTAAAGTTTAACTACTGAAATTTGCATATCGCTCGAGCGGGTCCGAAACGCGGGACCTTCGTCTTCCCTGGGAAGACGCATACACACGCATACAAATGAGCGCGTACATATATATATATATATATACCCGTATGTGTATATATATTTAGCGCAAATGCGAAATTCTTTCTTTTCAATAATAGCCATTTTTGAAAATTAACATACCTGGCGATATATAATACACGCATTACGGCTTTCGACGTACTTTTGAGAACATACAAAGAGGATTTCGATTGACCACGGACGCGATACACGAAACGGAACGCAATTAGCAACGGCAATTTCACGCGATGTTTAAACCGTTGAAACGAACATGTTCGACACATTTTACAAGACTTATGACACTCGCGGTAATTCTGCGCGCGCGAGAAACACTTTTAGATAATAACGATCGCAAGAAATACTGCACGATATTCGAATATGATTCTGGAGTCCGATGCGACGCGTTCCCCACGAGAACTGTATCGACATTGCGATGATTGCGATTCTCGAAGTATCGAAACTCGAAGCGTAGACAAGATGGCGCACGAGATGAACGTCACTTCCGCCGGTATTGCGGAAGTGACGGCACGGCCATAATTGGATCTTTTTTAGGTTGGGTTTAGTAGCAGCACGTTGTCGGAACAGTAAGCACGATGTATTATTAAGCATTTTTTCGTAATGAATATTCTCGTTTTTCGTTAAATCTTGTTGTAAATTCAGCAGTAACATCTTTCCTTCTTTTACAAAATCCGAATACTTAAACAAAAGTCGCGTGAGAAACAAATGCAATGCGATGTGTTAACATACGCACGCAAATCATTTTTCGTTGTCAATGTTAAAAATTTCCTGGTTCTTCTAAATTTAGTGTTTATTTTTTACAGTCTTATTTTTTCTCATTATATTTTTCCTGAATAGAAATTGCAAATCAAAAGTCTCAGTTACATCTCGCAACATTTTCGAGTAAAAGAAGCTTTACAATTATCAAACGATTATTGAAAGATTGTTTTTTGTATCATTAAAATCATATAATTGTCGTAACAATTTTATGATTCTCTGGATTCTGTTACAATCTAGATAGTCATCATGCAGATTTTCGTGAAAACCCTCACTGGTAAGACCATCACTCTCGAGGTAGAAGCCTCTGATACCATCGAAAATGTGAAAGCCAAGATCCAGGATAAAGAGGGAATCCCACCAGATCAGCAGCGGCTTATCTTTGCTGGCAAACAACTGGAAGATGGACGTACTCTCTCTGATTATAACATCCAAAAAGGTATTAGTATACACAACTCTTTATAATTTATAGAACTTGAGATATAATTGATTACAAAAGTTCAAGCTTTTATATACGATTTAGATTATTTACCCTAAGTATATAACATTGCATTTTGAACTTATTATTGAGATAGAAATAGACATTGAAATATGCAATAACTATTTTAATAGAATCCACTCTCCATCTCGTGCTTCGTCTCCGAGGAGGTGTAATTGAACCTACTCTGCGTATACTTGCACAGAAATATAACTGTGACAAAATGATCTGTCGCAAATGTTATGCTCGTCTTCATCCTAGAGCAACTAATTGCCGTAAGAAAAAGTGTGGTCACACAAATAACATCCGGCCAAAGAAGAAGTTGAAGTAAACTAAGCACCCAAGTTCCATTTCCACGTTATGGAAGTGGAAATATATATTTCTTATACCTGGCATCAATAAACTTTGACTGGTAAACCGATATCTTGTATTTTTTTCTTATGCATTTAGTAAGATAATTATTTATGTCCATACAATTCTTAAAATTCAAACTGCAATAGCGAGTGTTAAATAAGCTTAACATTGGCAATAATATTTTATTAGTATATAGGGAATATCTACAATATATTTTATTTTATATTTACAATATATACAATAAATTTAATTTATAAAATGCGAAATTTGATCTTATCCAGAGCACATCTCTTTCATAAGCAATTTATACTGAGTAGCATAAATTTCATATAAATTCATATCATTTGAATTTGGTATCGAACCGCCTGACTAAAAATATTTATGGTTACAAGATTATACTATATTATGTATATCATAATTTTTTTACATACCGTGGCTCTTTTCACATATTGTTCATATATATTTATACTGGCATTTTTAATACTTGGTAGTGTAATAACAGTAGCCGTAGATTCGGGAAAGGATGCTTGTTGAATTAATTTTGAACGCAATTTACTATTATCTGTGGTATATGTTGCATTGCGTCCTATTAGAACAAACCTGAAAAAAAAAAAAATGTTGAGTAAAAATTTTATTTATATTTATAAGAATATTATTATTATTATTACCTTTTATAAAGAAGGATATCATTTCGTTTTGGATATTCTGGTTGTGTGCCATATACCTGTTTCATAGATGGAAACAATGATTCAAATGATATTAGCTCTAAACTATCTTTAGAAATAATTAATTGAGAATCATCCATTTGTTGATGACTTTCATCTTCATCTGAACTTGAGTCCTCGCTTGAGCTACAATATATCCACATAATAATACTAACAAATTGTAATTGCAATTAATTTTGAAAGAGAAACATAATGATCAAATTTTATATATACCTTGCGCTAGATGTTGTACTGCTTGTACTGCTCTGACCAGTCATAGATGGATTTTTCATATTTAAATTTTTATTACCTGCTTCTTCTCTTCGTCTACCTGGTCGTACACGAACAGCAAATGGACTGTAGCAGGTGGTGAAGTGCGGCATAAAATCTCTAATAGAGTGACTTATTTTATAAGCATATACCTCAGATAGCAAGGAGTGTTCATATGGCCTAAAATATTTATATTGAACTTTTCAATTAAGAATAAATTGATAATATACAGGAAGATATACATAGAAAATCACAAAATAAATAATATACCTATGATAATCGTAATAAATGTCAATCATTTCCTCTATTGAATTTTGCACTTGTATCATTTCTGAACAGGATTTAGTTATTTCATCAAATGCATAAGGAAGACATTTCAATACATTTTTATCCCACCATTGTGTCAAAAGCTTTGTTTTACGCGAGTAGCGACATGCAGGAGGATGGTGAAGATAATAATCTGTCAGGAGTTCCCATATTGGAGACTTGCCCTCTTCAGGTACAAATAATCCTAAGATATATATATTAATTAAGCAATTATGGAATATTTTGCAAAAATCAAATGCTACAGGTATGTGTTTACTTACCCAGAAATAAATTAATTGTGTGCTGCTTTTCTTGATCACTAAACGTGTTACTGTAATATCTACTTAAAGTTTGCATAATGTCATTACCCTGACTTGTCCATGGAGCAGTTTTTCTAAATAATGATAGTTTGGTGTGATTAACTTTATTTTATTTTTATATTGCTACTACATGCTCAAATATAATCATATTCATTTACCTATATGTTTTAATTCTGTGCACTAGTTGTGAGCCACCATATTGCAAGGCTAAGGTATCCCCATGATCCTCATATAATTCTTCTAACATCCTCACACAATCAGAATCAAATTCAAGTTTAGGAGATTCTAATACACCCAAAGCGCATAATTGAAATCCTAAGGCACATTTTCCTATTGCAAACTGAGCTGTATTAGTTCGATCTAAACAGTCTACACAATTTGTCCTGATAATCCCAGTTTGTACAGTTCCTCTCCTAACAAAACATTCTGCCACTTTATTCTCAATTTGATTTAACTCATTCATTTTATTGACATCTGTATTTGAATTGGAACCATATATAGAATTTGTTTGTCTGTTATAATCCATTTTAGTTAAAGAATTGATAGAGCTTTTGGTATCATTTAAATTAGATGATAAAGTCGAGTTTGAATTCGTCTTGTGAAGTTTCCTGGTGTTATTGTTTTGTGATGAGAAAAGATATCTCTGACTATAGTAAGGATTATGCGATTGGTAAATACCAGTCTTTAACACAGCATTATAAGCAATATTTGCTAAACGCCCCATAACATTCACTTCTTTTCTGTATAAAAAAAAAAAAAAAAAAAAAAAAAAAAAAAAGTACTAAAAATAAAAATGGTCCAGAGCACATCTCTTTCATAAGCAATTTATACTGAGTAGCATAAATTTCATATAAATTCATATCATTTGAATTTGGTATCGAACCGCCTGACTAAAAATATTTATGGTTACAAGATTATACTATATTATGTATATCATAATTTTTTTACATACCGTGGCTCTTTTCACATATTGTTCATATATATTTATACTGGCATTTTTAATACTTGGTAGTGTAATAACAGTAGCCGTAGATTCGGGAAAGGATGCTTGTTGAATTAATTTTGAACGCAATTTACTATTATCTGTGGTATATGTTGCATTGCGTCCTATTAGAACAAACCTGAAAAAAAAAAAAATGTTGAGTAAAAATTTTATTTATATTTATAAGAATATTATTATTATTATTACCTTTTATAAAGAAGGATATCATTTCGTTTTGGATATTCTGGTTGTGTGCCATATACCTGTTTCATAGATGGAAACAATGATTCAAATGATATTAGCTCTAAACTATCTTTAGAAATAATTAATTGAGAATCATCCATTAAAAAGAATTGTAATAACACGATTATATTGTCATCTGAATTTTCAGATTATAATTTAAACTTGCCTTTTGTTCATACGTGCCATATCGAAACTTATATATTGGATATGATGCTCTGGAGGTAAAAATTGATTTAAATATTTTACAGCCACACTTAACTCTTCGCTTAATGTACTTTCGTGTTTCTTCTTCTCCCGTTTTTTTACTAGATTTAACAATATTATCGGTGATCCATATCTTTTTAACAGTTGATTAAAATGTGCTCCTAAAATAATTTTAAGTGTATATAAAAACATAATCTCTCATATATGTGAAAAAACAAATCTCTTGATTTTCATATATTAATACCTGCTGTTTCTACATAAGGATCGGACAAATCACAAATTATAGTCGGTTTTGGTACCATTTTACTAACATCTTGACTCCAATGAGCGGGCACTGATCCACGCATTTGTACAAAAGAACTGAAACGTCCTTTACTTAAAGAACTCACGCCAGAATCATGGACGATTTGTTCCGTTTCTACTTCGTTCGCGACATCTCCCTATATTTATATAATCGTTTATTAGTTTATTAACACACAAATGTTTATGAAAAAGGCATACCTTAATACATTTATGCACTTACATCAAAATTTGCACCACGTTTCAAAAAACGTGTCCCTGCATATTTGTTACTTCTTCTGGCGATAACAGTAACATACATAGACCTCCCAAAAATGCTTACATTTGATTGACCAATAAAGCCATGTATTACATATAATATCCAGTCAGGATGCAAATCTTTTTCTACAGGCTTTAATAAATGGGAATTCCATACAAAGCGACGATGTGGATTGCTCCGTATACCATAATCCATATATTTCTCGCTTTTACTATAATCACATTCCGTACCATTATTGATCATATATCCTTAATATATATTGTACTTAAATAAAATATTCAATTATTCATAACAAATTGCATAACATACCATTCAGTCTGCCAATCTTTCCTAAATGCCCACATATTAAAAAAATCTTCCGAGTTCTCCAATTCTTCAGATTCCTTCTGCCTAATAGGAATATCAGTGGGAATATCAGATTTAATATGCATTGGTGGTGCCATATTATTTTGAAAAGTATGCGATATGTCATATGAGTAACTGAAGTAAAAGTTACTACTAAGATCGATACTTTGAAACATCTTTACATATCTCTGTTCATCTGGATGGAACACTCGTACAAGGTCATTTGGTATGTATATCATTGATGTATCTTCTATCTTATATATCGTATGATGACCAATAACTGCAACTCGGCGACGTTTTGTAACCAAGATTATATAATATCCCTCCAAGAAACGTACAAAACCTAGATATTAGATATTTTTTTTTTAAAACGTGTTTTTCTATTTTATCATTATTACTCTTACTAATTATTTTATTTTGTGGCTACACTTTACATTTTCATTATATATTGCTAATTATCTCACTTTTTTAAAAGGAATTGTATACTATATAGCTTTTTATACTAATAATTTATTATACTAATTAGTATATTATATATATATACATATATAGTCATAATCGTAAGCACACATTATATACAATTATATAGCATCCACTATATGGTGTGATACCAGTGCAGCTTAATTACTCATCTACAAGAAATACCATAAATACATAATTAAATAGCACACCATGCATAAGGAAGTATTATGTACATACACCAAGATATATTATAATGTCAGATTACGAATATTGCTTTTTAATTCTGTTAATCATATATAATGCTTACTCTGTTTTAGTTGGTTGCATTAAATACCAATATATTAACTGCATAACTACATTGTACTACCTAATGTAACCATATTCTCTTAAAACTAATATCTAAGATATTTCGTGAATATAATTTCACCGACTATTTTCATGCTTAACAATTTGTAATAATACATTGATACAAGCAACTTGTATACCCCTGTATTCCCATCACTAATTCTCTCTACAACAAAGTTATTCTGTTTAACTTTCTTTGGCTTTGTCAATACAAAGCTTATTGTGCCTTACCAAGAAGAGCTAAAGCTCGTACTAGCCTGGGGAAAGTATCTCTCTGCCACATGTTCTTCCAGGTGAATTTAGTTTGTGTTGGTTTATGCAGTGGCTTATGTAATTCTTGTGGCTCAGGCTCCTCTGATTTACTCGAACTAGGTGCAGGATCTTTACTATCTTTGCCTTTATTAGCAAGCAAATGTAAGTAAACTAAATTTTGTATGATGCGCAATTAATAATAACTTCCAATAAGATGCTTTTAGTGTCTGATATAGTAATATAAATAGTATTAGTAATAGTATGTATATGTGTTGTGGTAGGGCAGTTAAATATCATACCGCTAATGAAGAAGCATAAAGCATACTGAGGAGCCTAAGTTTCAACATTTGTATTAATAATATAGAATAATGGAGGGAGAAGAGAACAAAAAAGAAAGTGCATATACCACAAGATAAATGCTTGAATCTCAAAATGTGTATTAAAACTATATAAATTATTACATTTAATACATATATAGAAGCTTATATACGTGCAGTTATTAACTGTATGTTTAAAAAGAAAATGCTTAATGATCTTACCGACAATTCCAAAGGCAGATACAATACGTGCAACACCGCCAACATTGTTGCGTTGTCCTGTTCGTGTTCTATTACCCATATCTATCATGTTGACCAGATCTTTTATTTCATCCTGAGTGTATTCTCTCTTATCATCCACTACAATCAATTCTCTTGGTTCCATTCTGTCAATTTTCAAGACTCGGAAACGCGTTAATATATTGTTTGATCCCATTAGATAAAATCGCTACAAAATATAAAAACAAATGTAAATTATGGTTTTGTATAATTAAATTGAAAAAAAGCTCAAATATATATATATTATTTGAAACTTACGGATTTTGTCTCGTAAAGAGCAATTTTCTGTATGGAGGAAATAATTGGATGAAATACTACAATTGGTTTGCCTTGTTCCTCCATGATAATGTAGTATTTATTACGATTTTATAGTGAGAAATTTTAAAAAATTTTTTTGATTTCAACAATTTGTCACATTTTATTTTTGTTTCAAGTAAGTATATGATTACCTACAAGAACTTAACCTGACTTAACCTTTCAATCGATTAGAGCAGACTTTATCTGTCAAGAGGGCGTTGCACAATGCATTTTTTCCAAGAGAAAAAAAAGGTATGTATAAAAATTCCCATAAAATTAGCGATTTTCAATATTATTTTGCTATAATATGAACTAATGTTTGTATGTAAAAGATTTAGAATTTTTCTTATCACAAATTTTTATACAGGATCTAAATTCAAAAGTTACAGATAAAAAGCTACATACTTGAAATTGAACATAAAGGAAATTGGGCATTAATTAAAAAATGCATTAATCTTTATAATTCGTTAATATAATTCTATATAATTCTCATTATCTTCCATAATTAACATTTGTAATGTTAATACAGAGAATTGTAATACCAGAGTAGTCTATACATTTATTATCTACATAATATTCACTTATTCATATTTAGATAATATTCAAGCATTCTTTAGCAATAAACACCAGTGATTGTAGTGTACAAATACCGACATATGCGACTGTAAATCCGAATAATATCTTGTCTTTCTTGCCACCTGCTAGGTATACAGGCTTGTCCATTACGGCCTACAAACAAAAGCAAATATTGAGGACAATTTGTATTTAAAAATCAATTGTAGTTAAAAATAATCAATATGTGTAATTACCTGGAAATGCTTGTACTTTGCCCACATTTTTGGGTCAAGAGTAGGTGGTTTGCCAGTGCAATATCCTGACTTTGGTGTAATTGACATTGGTTTGGTTTTGATATTGTCATATATTATTACTGGTGGTTCTGTCCTCTGTAAAGGAATAGGAGACTGAAATGATATAAACAATCTTTCACATATATTGAATAAAAATAGTAATATATTAGGATTAATCTCTTACACAATTCCCTGAATATAAATAATATATGAACAGATAAAAGATAAATATAGAATAAGTCAAACACTGTGTAGTGTGACATATTAATCATTCTGCGATTTCAAAGCAATACTGATTAAAAGACTGGCTTGTCTTAATCTGTACTATCTGTACTTATCTGTTGTACTAATCAACATCGTAACGCATTATAATATAAATTTAGCACAGATGTTACATGAAATACAAGACTGTCCATACTAGAACATGGCCGAATGACTACTCTATACGTTCGATAATCAAACTTGATAATGAATTGACGATCAATTTTGAACTATATCGTGTTCAGAAGAAAAACAAAATACCTCTGATTCCAGGGAAATAATACACTCTCGGAGAAATTGTTAAGCTCAAATATATATATATTATTTGAAACTTACGGATTTTGTCTCGTAAAGAGCAATTTTCTGTATGGAGGAAATAATTGGATGAAATACTACAATTGGTTTGCCTTGTTCCTCCATGATAATGTAGTATTTATTACGATTTTATAGTGAGAAATTTTAAAAAATTTTTTTGATTTCAACAATTTGTCACATTTTATTTTTGTTTCAAGTAAGTATATGATTACCTACAAGAACTTAACCTGACTTAACCTTTCAATCGATTAGAGCAGACTTTATCTGTCAAGAGGGCGTTGCACAATGCATTTTTTCCAAGAGAAAAAAAAGGTATGTATAAAAATTCCCATAAAATTAGCGATTTTCAATATTATTTTGCTATAATATGAACTAATGTTTGTATGTAAAAGATTTAGAATTTTTCTTATCACAAATTTTTATACAGGATCTAAATTCAAAAGTTACAGATAAAAAGCTACATACTTGAAATTGAACATAAAGGAAATTGGGCATTAATTAAAAAATGCATTAATCTTTATAATTCGTTAATATAATTCTATATAATTCTCATTATCTTCCATAATTAACATTTGTAATGTTAATACAGAGAATTGTAATACCAGAGTAGTCTATACATTTATTATCTACATAATATTCACTTATTCATATTTAGATAATATTCAAGCATTCTTTAGCAATAAACACCAGTGATTGTAGTGTACAAATACCGACATATGCGACTGTAAATCCGAATAATATCTTGTCTTTCTTGCCACCTGCTAGGTATACAGGCTTGTCCATTACAGCCTACAAACAAAAGCAAATATTGAGGACAATTTGTATTTAAAAATCAATTGTAGTTAAAAATAATCAATATGTGTAATTACCTGGAAATGCTTGTACTTTGCCCACATTTTTGGGTCAAGAGTAGGTGGTTTGCCAGTGCAATATCCTGACTTTGGTGTAATTGACATTGGTTTGGTTTTGATATTGTCATATATTATTACTGGTGGTTCTGTCCTCTGTAAAGGAATAGGAGACTGAAATGATATAAACAATCTTTCACATATATTGAATAAAAATAGTAATATATTAGGATTAATCTCTTACACAATTCCCTGAATATAAATAATATATGAACAGATAAAAGATAAATATAGAATAAGTCAAACACTGTGTAGTGTGACATATTAATCATTCTGCGATTTCAAAGCAATACTGATTAAAAGACTGGCTTGTCTTAATCTGTACTATCTGTACTTATCTGTTGTACTAATCAACATCGTAACGCATTATAATATAAATTTAGCACAGATGTTACATGAAATACAAGACTGTCCATACTAGAACATGGCCGAATGACTACTCTATACGTTCGATAATCAAACTTGATAATGAATTGACGATCAATTTTGAACTATATCGTGTTCAGAAGAAAAACAAAATACCTCTGATTCCAGGGAAATAATACACTCTCGGAGAAATTGTTACAAAGTGAAATACGAAGTGCAACTCATAATCCACCGAACAATACACTTACATAAAAATGTATCGGAATTGTCATAAGTTTTACGACTGATTTTCGTCATGCGACGTATCACACGCATTTTCACTTACGAGAGGATAAAACGGTTGAAAATTGGTAGACGGTTTTATTCTTCCAGTAAACGAATTGTATTGATAAAACGGCATTTTTGCAGTTGCGCAACCGACGTTACCAACCTACGACATACGACTTTACTGTGCCTCACTGTGCCTTTGGTTGGGAGATCACGAAGCTTTCAGCCATAGACTTTATTGTTACAAGTAATGTAGCTTATAAGTTACGCGATAATGTGATTTTTTGAAACGGAAAAATAAATGGACCAGGCAACAAATAAATTTAAAATGGACAATTTGAAAATGAAAGGAATACGGAAAAAGATGAAGAAAATTTTAAAAATAGCTTTTGTATGTGGAATTTCTCATATAAAACGCTCATGTAAAATTCCTATTTGGATAAAATCGAATTTATTAAAGCAACAATAAGATAAATTTAGTGAACGAGGATCATCCTGCTTTACATTATGTTGTATCGAATGAAGAAATAAAATTGTAAGAAATATTATGCGCACAAAATGTATATAAAAGTGGGAGAAATCAAGTCAAAGTAATTTTAGCATTTTTATGCTAGATGGAGTTGTTTGTTCATTTCAATATTTTCATTACATTATTTGTCTTAAATTTATATGACTTATATATGTATAGATATGTATAGATTATGCACATTTATATTAATGACAATTAACATAAAAGTTTACTACGTTTAGTTGACAATTGTATATATATCACATGTGTATGATAACACTTGATATTTACTAGAATACCAGACTTTATAATGTATAGATATGTATAGATTATGCACATTTATATTAATGACAATTAACATAAAAGTTTACTACGTTTAGTTGACAATTGTATATATATCACATGTGTATGATAACACTTGATATTTACTAGAATACCATTGTACTTTATTTTTCACATTAGTAAATAATCGCTGTAAGAAAAGTCTTTTATCTGTTTATTGTTACATGTATCGGAAATAGTCAAATTTTACTTTCTTCATGTTGTATGTACTTCACAGTTGCAAACATATTACAGTTTTCGATACTAGCGCACTCTGGCAGTGATTATTATGAGGTTAGACATGGTTACAAGCTATTAAAAATATTGTGTGAAAAGGTATTAATTACGTCTCATAATGATAATTTCTAAATAATGTAATTGTAAAATATAACAACACAGAAAGAGATTGTATCAGGATCAAATGTTAATGACTTTATCTTATTGTTGCATATATACATGAGAAGTATGACTATCTCATTTTTATTTCTTGATTTTTCTTTTATTGAGCATTATTTGATATCATTGCAGTATAATGTAGAATAACATAAAATATCTATTTTGTTTCAGGCGAGATTTGACATCACAGTGACGGAAAGACTAGAGTTATCAAAGTGTGCTATCCCTTACAGTCGAGGAAAGAGAATAACGTTATAGAGACATATCATAAATATTTTTGGTTGCATCCATATTTTCATTCAGGTATGCATTATTTTAAAGTTAATTTTTAGTTTTTTTTTTACAGTGGATGCATATGTTTGGAATATTTATATATAAATAGTGTAGAATGAGTATATATATATATATATACACATATGAGATAAATATGTATATATATTATGATATTTCTCCATGTTGTTTCAACATACGTAGCATGTCATACAATGGATACTACAAAAATATAGAGTATATATGTTTGGAATAATTGCATATATATTCACATAAACATTATATAATACTTAATATTTTGATTTATCAGAATGTATACATCCAACTGTAACATCTTATATGAAACATACATCTATATAATATCTTTTTACATAGTTTCAGGGTCTCTGCATTGGAAGATCTTTCTGAATTTACACATTAAAAGAATGGCATACAATTTATAGTTACAGTTATCAAGTACCATGGAATCTTGGACTACATCTGTTTGCTCTGAAAAATCAATGGTATTTTATCTCATACTTTATCTTGCCAAATTACAACATAAAAATTCTCATAAAACGCGTCGTAGACATCAAAGTATATATTAAATATAGCTGAAAGTTAAAGCTAAATCGTTCAGTACCGCAAATTGTTTCAATATATTTCCGCCATGGCAGCTCTGTCATACGAGTATACTGTTTTATCGACTGAACTCGAGTAATGCTCGAAGACACGTCATGGCTGGAAGATGCACAGTTTTGTGATTTACAACAATGTTAATTTATTAAATTCTATATAATACAACAGATATGCCACAACAAATATCTATGGTGAAGTATCAAGTATATAAGCAAGAGGCAAATTGGCTTTTAAATTCCATAAGAGGAAAATTTTTTGTTTGCTATACATTCATTGTGTTGATTACTAGATAGATAATGGATGTGTTGCTTACATATGAAGCATGCATATGAAGGGAGCAAGTTTTATAGCATCTTATATAAATTGTGATAGTGTGAGAACATTGATTAAATTCCTATTGCCACATTTTACATTCATAAACAGGCCTGTAAAAGCCTGATTAATTATGTCAATAAAAAAGTAATGATTAATTTTATCTTGAGTAATTTCATTGGCAATTTGTTTTCAGATTGGATTTAATCCAAAATATACTTATGATATTAGCCCAAAACTGCATAAGAATAATAGAATTGAAAATAGAAAGGTATTATCATATCAAACAGCTGTAAAAGATGCTTTGTTTGGAAAGATGTGTTTACCTTACATGCCAACAGAACCACCAGCATCCATAAGCGAAGAGATTGTGGAATCTGATTCACTATATGTGTGTAAGCACTGCAAAGATTGGTGAGTTTGTATAATAGTTTAATTGTATAATTTTATTTTATAAATATTTTATTTTATAAATGCAATGATTCTTGTTTCAGTTTTCGCTTTCAAAATAGCTTTGAGGATCATAACAAACGACGTAGTTGGATCTTAGGGTTTTTGTGTCGCAGTTGTTTTGTAACAGTATGTACCCACATAACCAAAACAGGTTCTGCATGTCCTATATGCACAAAAAAAAACAATGATAAACGTTTCTATTTGCGAAGAAGAGGTTTACCTAGGTATCAAAAGCCGGGTGTTGCAAAAGTATTCTATAACCAATGCCAATTCTGGGAACATGTAGAAATGCATGGTTCAAACACAGTGGATATGGGTGATGTAATGTTAATGCCTCTACCTGCTAACATATGTGAGAGTGACTGGTTGCCCCAAGTTGAAATAATATGCGAAGCACTTATGGAACACTCATTTTTTTTACGTGTGCATATTATGGATTGGTTAAAAATATATAACTTGGAAGATAACTGGTGGAAGTTGGTTAATGGTAAAAGTAATAATAATGTGCTAAGTAAAATTGTTGAGGGTTATCGGGGTCGACAATTATTTAAGACCTTTGAGAAGTCAACAGTAAATGAGTTTACAAATTTCAATTCTTCTGACAATGTATATAATAGGAAAAGCTCTCTCAATATTGAATTTACTGATGACAGTGTTAAGGACAAAGATGCAAATAATTATTCCGCGAATAAGATTGCAGACAAAAATATATCAGAAAATGAAGATAATCCTTGTATGTCAACTGATATTGCTTTTGTGGATTGTGGTCCTACTTCACAATATTTAGAACCCGAATCGTCAGTGCGTTATGTACCCATAAGGCAGGTAAAAGTTGTTACAAAATCAGCACATAGCAATAAAAAAAGCTTGACTGATATGATAAAATCAAATAATAAAAAAGAAATTGCAACTTGTAAAGATCTTCATTCACTGGAAACAGGTCTGACTAGTGAAAATACTACCGCTGTAAAAACAGACAAAAGTTCCAATAAAAATTTTGTCATTAGACAATCATCCAAAGACTGTGTGCGGCAATGTAGAATAGTGGAGCCATTTGGAAAAAAAGTTGCAAAAAACAACATCAATAAGTCTATAATAGAAACTGATATTAATAAAATTCTGGATAATCCAGTTAAAATTCCAATTTCTAGTGAAAAGGTTTTACCTAAAATATTACCTAAGACTAATTCAAATCATTTGGAGCAAGGTCAAATCTCAAACAGTAGTTCCAAGGTATTACTTAAGATATTACCCAAGACTAGATCAGGACGATTAGAACAAGATCAAACATCAAACACTAATTCCAAGATATTGAGTGTCCAAAGTTCACAGAATGTTGGTAACAAGATTATATTACCTAACACTAATTTAAATAATTTGGAGCAAGGTCTTCAAACATCAAAAAATAATTCTAAAATACTAAGTGTTGAAAGTTCACAAAATGCAAATATTACATCCATAATTAGTCAACTTCCGTCTCATCTCATTTCCAATCAAAAATTGGTTGTTATTGGACAGGATTCAAGTAATGTAATTGCTTATGACAAGAACGAGGTAAGCACTGAAAAAAGATTAAGCACATCACTATTAGATAATAGTAATGTTACAGACATTAATATGTCATCACAAAAGAAGATATGTAATTCCGTTAACATCGACAAACAAGAACAAATTCTGATAAAAAATGGAAAAAAATACTTCATTAAACATCAAAAATATATTACAAAGGATACAAAAAACTCTTCTAATTTGCCAGTTGTGAACAGCACAACGAAAATTATAAAACAGTCGGCATCTGAGCACAACATGTCAATGTCAACATCTATTAATTCTAGCAAGGCTGAGAATATTGATGTGGAACAAATGGCTTCGGTTTCTAACGATATTTCTACACCCTCTTTCACTGATCTTTGTTTAACACCTTCACCATCCCCTTCTGAATCATCCAGCAATTCTGGCTGGATATACGAATCGTATATTACGAAAAATATGTATAAAAGATTATCTCCACAGTTAATCACTTCTAGTCTAATCCAGAAGAAAAATTTATTTGAAACAATATCACTTACCGAGAAAAATGGAAATGTTTATATGCATATAAAAATAGTAGACCGTATTTCAAAAGAAGGCTTTCGAGACACATTTGAAGTAATACCAAAATATAGAGAACAAATGATTGATGAGTTTCACCAGCTAAATAGTTTCGAATTGAAAGAAAGGATCAACCATTTAAAACTTGTTAGTGAAGAAATGAGAAAAGTTTTGGATTTTTTATCGAGCAATGTCCTTTGGGAGAAATCGAGATCTATCAATACTCTCCAACGTATATTGGAAAAATGCCTTGACAACTGTAATCAAGATGTAACAGATAAGAAAAACGATGATGTGATATTAAATGAATGGGAATCAGAAATATTGAAAAAGAAATATCCAAATAAATGTTCATTATGTAATAAGATTGTGAAACCTCTGTCGTATATTCCTGGATTTTCAAGATTACCTAAGGACGATAATATATATTGTTCTTGTTACAAACTTGTTTGTCACGAATGTCTATCTTACCAAGATAATGTATCACAGTTTACTGCGCATCAGAACTACCACAAGAATTGCGAGCCTTACGTTTGTCCAAACTGCCAGTCCAAATTTGCTTCTGTGAGATCTTTAGAAGTTCACACGTGGACCGTTTGTTTTCATACTTGGAAAAAATTTATTCTTTCTTGTAAAATTTGTGAAATAGATGGTTTTAGGGACATGGAATCGATTACCAGACATATTGCTATCATGCACAGTACCACAAAAATCGCTTGTGAAATATGTAGCAAGGTACTTTCTTCATATAGTGAATATGTAAAACATTCCACAGAGACACATGTGTCTGTGCAAAGTCGAAATCCGATACGTCTGGTGAAATGCAGATTAGGTAATGTAATCATACGTTTTGAGAATTTAATGTGGTATACGGAGATGCATCCTGCGATTCGAAAGTTGATATGGTTTAAATGTCCCTTTTGCCCGTTGATAACTGTAGAAAATAAATATACAACTGCAATTTTAAATGATCATTTACGAAACAAGCATTTGCATCGCTTGTCGGAGATTCTTAGTAAAGAAGCATTGGTCGATATTTTCGGGACAGCTTTTTTGAAAGCTGATGTAAATACAGTTTCTGAAAATCTTGTAGATACGTTTACGAACGAGGCAGCGAAGCATACTATAATACCTAGAATTGTGAATGCTCGAACTATCTCTTCAGAAATATTCGAACATGGCACAGAAGACGAAATATCTCTTTGGAAATATGATAATTCGAACGTGGCATGGTCTAGAATAGAAATAAAGCCATCAACAATGGAAAATGTTAATGATGGACAAAAAATAAGTTCATTGCCAAAAATTCTCAATGTTAAATCAATTAACGATTTAAAGTCATCCAAACCTAAGGAAGCCATCACAAAAACTTCAACCGAAGCGAAAAAGAAATCTAATTCTCAATCTTCTCAAGCTGAAATAATTATAGATGAAAAAGATGATCCATTAGCAGGCGAAGATGCGAAAGAAATGGAATTAGATGACAGTAAGTCCGACAATAAGGAAAAGAAAGGAAAGACAAAAGAGCCTGAGAAAACTAACAACGAATCGATTGTATCAACAGACATACATAATGTCCGTGTAATTTCGCCGACTGAATCATGCAAAAGAATCTTAGATTCTAAGTTCATGTCTAAAACAAGCATAGGTGGCCATATAAAGGTAGTTGATATTAGGAAAATATGTAAACCGAATATAGAGCCATTTGTTACCACTGAACCGAACAGTACACTGAGAGAGGATGAAAATATAATGTTTATTCCGCAACCTCCTCCTCTTGCCAAGATTCCGCAACATTTATTTAAATCTGTGGAAGTTTATAAACTGGATAATGGTTCAAAGAATGTTGCGAAGACGAAAAAATTTCTCCCTCGAAGAGCGGATAACAAGACAATAGGGCGTATCGCTATACACGGAACAACAGGTGCGGAAGAGATAAATGTCGATTATCTGTGCCACTTATGTGGTGAACAGATTAATACTTCTAGATCCGTGGTGCACACACACTTTCGTGAAAAGCACTCGCACGAATGCAGATTGGCGGCAATCACCCCGCGGTTGATGCGGATATCACCTGATTTTATTAATGGTGGTTACAAGCAATTTATCAACAACAGAAAACGAAAAGCGGATAGCGCTTTACTCGTATCCAAGAGAAAGCGTCGTTGGACTCCGAAGAAACATACAGAAACGAAGGATGCGAGCGCGCCCGTAGGATTATGCGTGGAACGAGAGACGGCAGAGGACGGCGAAGGAAATTTTAAGTGTAAGAAATGCGATCAACGATGCACCGACATGTCCAATCTGAGAGAGCACATCGCTGCTAATCATCGTCTAAAAGGTCGTTACCTGATATGTCTGGAATGTGGCGAGAATTTTGTGGTCGCGCCTAGTTTACAGATGCATCTCAAAGCTTTCCACGGAATAGAGAGTCCTATTAATTATATGAATCAAAATCCTTCTTATGCTCCTGGTATCGATGACGATTCAGAAGCGGAAGGAAAAACGACAGTGGCTAATCAGTGCTACGTCTGTATGGCAGTTTTCGAGGATAAGGCTGCGGTAGACAAACACTTGAGGGTGCATGGTATGGCTTTTCTAAATCGTAAGAGAATAGAAGCGAGAAATGCTCTTAAAAGCCCTGAAAAGAAGGCCAAAATGGAGGAAGAAAATGTTGCTAAAGGCAGTCCAAAAGAGACGGTGAGGCAGGATAAGCCAGCAGAAATAATTCTAGAAAAAATTAACGTAAGTAATGTATTTATATAACTTAAATTTATTATATATGTTGAGAAAGTAGCATTATCAATTTAACGAATGTTGATTTTTTTCAGGTTGCGATGTAGAGCAAGTGATAAAAAATATAAAGAAAAACGATGTTGTACTATAACAAATTCATTAACTTTATTTTTGTGTATATTTGAACGCTCAATTCTTCATTGTTATTGCGAAATATTATATCAGTAAATTTTAAATTTTTTTTACACATATGCACCACACACACACACACACACATACACATTGTAAATTATTACTTTCTTGTATAACATGCAGGCAAATTATTAGAAAATGATCAATTTTGGTATTTGTCTTTTTAATATCGTAGAAATACAAAAATTTTATTATATATATACTATATAATATATATATATATATATAGTATATATACGTCCAATTTTGGAGTTGACATCCATTTTGTTTAGAGAGAATAAACAAAAGTTTATAGCAAACAATAGAAGTTATAATTTCATTAAGTATAAGTAGATAGTAAATAAAATAGTAGATGTATTTATTTATATATTTATTATACTTAATGGAATTATAACTTCTATTGTTTGCTATAAACTTTTGTTTATTCTCTCTAAACAAAATGGATGTCAACTCCAAAATTGGACGTTATAATATTATAAAACACATATAAATATTATTTTCATAAAAATTCGCGAAAGATATACAGATTTATCGCGGATATCATAAGATAATGTACATAAGTATTTATTCTCTACAGAAATTAATGTTTTTTTGTACTATAATAACTCTTAGTCATATATAATCTCATTTATGATATATCAGAATAAAGAAATCTTTTATTATTTGAATGAGAATTCATGAAAATTTGTCACATTAATCATCTTTTGTTGAAGAATTGCGGATTTCAGGATGAATAAAGGATTTCAGGATTAACAATATTTAATAAGATAAGTACAATATATAGTTCTTTATTACATCGTTCTTATTTGCACAGATAATGCTGATTATTGCTTAGTTGCTAAAGTTTTAATGATTGACACATCGAGACATCGAGTGTTATGAAACAAGTCGAATAGATTTCATAAGGAAATTCTTTTTCACAGGAATATGTCCCTGCCATTTGTGTATTTTATCTACATATTTGTATCGTATATTATATTAATATATTAATATTCGGTGGCATGAAAATATCTGTTTCAACGTGTTCACATTTTACAAAGAAAACGTGTAGCATATTTTAAACTGCTTTACTTCGAGCAGATATATTTTCATTGCACAGGTACTAGAGAAAAGGTTTTGTGGGTACTGAACACTTTAATCGTAATCCCGTATGGGATTTTATAGTTCCCGTAAGAGCATTTATAGTTTGTCTTTTGAAACGTGCACGCTTACAGATCTTTTAATTACGGAAGTATTCTATCTTCGATAAAAAAAAAAAATCTGTATAATATATGTTATTAAGTATTTTAAAAAACGTTGGGTTTTTTTATTTTTGTTATTTTTTATCAATAATAAGAGAAGTAAAATAAAAGCTCTTAGAATATATTATTTTATTATTTCTGAAAAATTATATCTTTTAGATTATCTTATATATAATTATAATCAAGATTATTCCGCCAGAAAGAAAACACATAAAGGATATCGTAAGTGTGTTGGTCCCCTTTTTTATGATTCATCAAGACAAACATTGTATACTCTCACGGGTTTTATTTACTTTTTTTTGGCACAGTTACTAGCGAACACACATGTTTGACATTATACGTTGTGATTGATCCGTAATCCCCACAATTTGGGCATTACGAAACAAGAAATCTATATTCACACATATGCCACTTTGTAAAGTCTCAATATACTATTTTATTTATTAATTCAGCCACACTAATAAAGTTAATTCTTTCGCGTTAAGCATTGAGTCGGTCATCTGTATTGTTTTTCCCTTCAGTGATCTATATTGCATTGACAGTGTCGATTTTATAGCGTTCCACTCCACAACCGCCGGTTCTCATTACTCAATTTTATAATGCTTAATGAATAATTAATTATAACGTTTAATTCTTAATAAACAATTTTCGTTATCACACTATTTAACTTTGTATTATATGAATTGACTATCGAAAGATCTAGTCGGTTTTTCAAATATTATTAATTTTAAGCTATCTAATAGATGCTAATATTTTAATGTTTTTTGTAGGTTTTCTGTGTTATATATGTAAACTATCACGAAGATCTATTGTACTCACAAAAGTCGTTTCTCTACGATATTACTGGGATATTATGTTGCATGTGATGATCTATCTCGATCTATCACATATATGAAACATCTAAATAGATGCAATTTTTAATTTGATTCGATTTTGATGGATTGCCTAAGCGATTACGATATTTTGATAAAATCGCTCTCTATTGAAAGTCAAAATATTAAATAATGTTGCGAGTGGAACGCGAAAAAAATCAACATCGTTCGGAAATTTTCCTCGATATATATGTATAGTCTCTCTTAAGCAACAACTTTATCACTTAGACAAACCTGTTACAATCACACATGTGCACAGTATTACGTTATAGGAATCGATCTCTTCTTCTCGCAGGAAGCATTGACGTGAGTATCGACATCGATGTTCGATTCTTTCCCTGGATTATCCACCAGTGTCGACCACCGAGATTACCGGACTCGATGGACGAGACTTTGTTTCTTGACAAAAGTTCGAAACAGTATCCTGTCGAATCTCTGAGGTGAAATCGTTCTTTAAGGGCACAGAGTCGCTTATACCACTGATTATCCTCAGAGACGACGAGGATGACGAACTCGACCGAGCCGTCTTCACTTCGTATTCGGCAGGACTGACCGGTTCTTGGCCGTCATTCTCCTTAAACAGCTTCCTCAGATCATTGCCTAGTCTTGTATCAACCGGACTCGCCGTTGAATCCACGGTGATAGTCAAGGTCAAGGAATCTGGTGGTTTCCTACCTCTGATAGTATTGGCAAGTTCGCTAAAAGGAACCCCGACTTCACTTGTGGCCCATACGTCAAAATTAGGACTGCATGAACCACGAGATGTTGTTTGGGCAGTTTTCGGTTTTGTCGCATCTTCCATCGAGTGCCAACGATGCGGTCTCGAAACCGATGTACCCTGCGCGATAGCACTCAAACTATTCGCTGGAACTATTCGGTGAGGGAACCGGGGCGAACCGCGTATCTTTTCTCGAGAAGATGATTGACTCGTGCTCGCCTCTGAAAAAATTTTTTCCGCATCCTCATCGCAGTATTCAAACTTGAAAATTTATTAGAATTTTCTTACGCATTTATACACATATAAATGCATAAGATATTTAGAATTGTAGCTCTTTTTCTGAATTTCTTATATAATACAAATTGTTTATTTTTAAATTTAATATCTTTAATTTCTTTTACGTAAATGAAAAAAATTATTGTGACGCTTATATAAAGATAAAGATTTATTTGTGGTAAGATATTTCATATTAAAATAAGATGTAAATTATGTAGGTCACTCACGTGGCGGTAAGCTGAAATTTACTCTAGGCTCGCTACTTTCCTTGCGGCGTAGCCCTAGGCTCAATCTACGGTCTTCCTCGCTAGTAATACTAATTATTGGTCCTGAACCGCATCGTGCATGAGGTGAGTGAGTGCCTTGGGCATCTACCTGACAAGTAGAAGCAGCTTTCGTGCCGGGCACTAAACCAGCAATGTAACCCATATGGACTCGAAGCGCCGATGCAACTCCTAATGAAGGTAATATAAGCAGGATAACAATATTTCAAATACATATATGAATTATATATAGATATGACAACTGAACATGAAATATAAACCATTTTCACAATATGTTATATCAACTGAATATGAAATATAAACCATGTTCAAAATATTTAAATCTATGTAATGCTATATATGTTATATGATATGTAAAATAAACTTTTTTCTCTTTATATATTAACGAGATTCACGATTATAAATTATATATAATATGAAATAAGTTAAAATTATTTATGTTTATTTCTTTACAAGCATACAGTTTTTTCTCTATAAGCATAAGATTACGAGACGATACGATTGAACGTAAAATGCAAATTATCCAAAATGTAATCAAAGCCATTTATTATAAAATAAAATTTATTATAAAATAAATGGCTTTAGCTTCAATTTTTTATTTTGAGTTTTTTTTCTGTAGTTTTTTGTACGTGCTTTTATAAAAATTCTTTTGTGAAAAGAATTTTCCCTTACTTTCGACGTCGTTATATATATAATTAAATTGTGTCTACCATATCATCTTGAGCTCTCTGAAGTGCTTTTATTCTTTTATTCTTCGACACTTGCTTACCGGTGAATGATGCAGTGGAGGTTTTTCTGCTACTCGGCCTGCTGCCGAAGAGGCTGAAGAGTCGTTGAAAAACGCCCAGGCGATTCGGCCCCTCGGTCTCCCGACGACGATGCAATTTGTAAAGGTCGGCCAGGCTTTGTCTGGGGTCGTCCGGTTCCAGATCCGGTTGGCTGCTAAATGCTACGGTACCGCGACGTATGCCTAATTTCAACAAGGGCCAAACTCGTATATGACGCGAATCCCCATTATATGCCGAGCAGTCATTATGATGGACACGCATTATTGAGGCTTGGGTTCTACCTAGCCGTCGGGACGTCAATTCCGCAGAAAGCGCATGTGAATTTAGGCGACATTTATGCAGAAGCCAGTCATGAATTCGCAGCCATGAGTTTCATAGCAAGAAATATTCCGCATTATTCGGAAAAGAAAATTATCCATTTGTCTTTATCACAAAGAAATAATTTTATGAGGATGTGAACAATCAATCTTTATTTATTTTCGTTTACATCGATTTTGTATTATTCACTTATTGTTAATGCAATTATTGCAGTTATTTTGGAATTTCGATTTTAATATCATTTAATACAATAACTTATTTTAATCGCAATAAAATTTGTATTATTTTGAAATCATTATTCTTTGATTCTCGAATGTTTTAACCGGGGATTATGACTGCAGCTTCAGTATGAAAATCGCCTACAGTAGAAGAGAGGAAGGAGGGAAAATGTATACCTCTATAGCAGTAGAGTAAGACATTATATGTAGCTATTTATACGGATATCCTTTTCCCGTACAAGTTTTTGAATCGACTGATCGGATTATATATATTCACATATAATTGCAATGTTCAGTATATATATATGAAAATTTTCTTCAAGAAGAGGAAGAAGGGAAAATGTATATTTTTCTCGTAGTAAACTAAAATATTACGTATAACTATTTATACTCGGGTATTCCTCGTGCGTTTGTTCGTTTGACAAGTTCTGAAATATTCTTTGGTTTTACAATTTATTGTTCGAAATTTCTAAAGATTTAGAAAATCATTAATATCGAAAACGCATTTAAACTTGATACAAATGCGATTCGGATTAATTAGCGAGTATAAGGACTGTACGACTGTTCATCAATCAAATTATAGCAGACATACTTTGACATACTTGTGAATAATGTCGTAATTCGAGAGATCGATAATTAGTAGATGTTTCCGTCATCTGAGTTTCAATACATGAACTCTGTGATACGTGTGGGGAGTATATTTTATACTATGTATGCAAGTATATCATTAATGTGATGCACGAAAATACTAGTTATCTCCGTCATCTCAGCGAAAAGTTTCTTTCCATAGCTTTTTGATAAATTACGATTTAATATTTTTTTCGAGTGGAAAATTATGTTTTTTCCGAACGTTCTTTACAATTTCTAATATAAGAGGAAATTATCTTGACAACTAAAGCTTATAAATTATGTTTTAAAATCCACTAAATTTACACGGAAAACGTCTCTGAAATTAGATCGTTTAATTTTCTTCAAGGAAAGCACGACTCCGAAATTCCTCAAAGCATCTACGATTCAGCTATTTTCCGACGCAGTGGTGAAACACTTCGTATGTATGCATGCATAGACGGTGCGCAGCCTTTGACTTCATTTGATCCGTTGATGATAGACATTCAGAAATATTGGGGTGGAACGTGCAGTCGGTGTGCAGACTTGTACGCGGTTTGCATGTATGCTGAATTGTCCGGACTTATGAAAAGAATTCGAGATTTTGGGAGACGCGAGACCCGAAAGCGATATAGGATCGATATATCAGGAACGCATCAAACTACGTTCACGAGCTCTCGTTCGTTAATAATATCGAGTGATATTCTAGCGATCACGGTCAAGTTGATTCCGGATGATAATTGATACACATAGGATGCGCGAGGTCTATCCGATACACGTCTTGCGCTCGCGTATAATGTCGTTGGTGAATTACCGGAACGTGTGCATGACACTTGAAAGCGGATATTTTGCGAGTGAAATGTGCGATCATTTGCACTGCAAATGACATAATCCGCCGACGAGCTTTCAAGGGAAGTTTCCTTTTGTCAACGCGCACACGAGAAATACGCATAAGTGAATCAATTACAAAGCATACACGCGTGTATTTCGCCCACCGCGGCGGATGTAAGTGAATAATCGAGCGATTGAATTTTATCTCCGCAATCTGTAAAAAAATAGATTAAATTAAAATAAATGGAGAGGGATTTATTTCTGCGAGATTGAACACCTAGAACTCTCTATTCAATGTGGTTTCGTTGTGTGTGGTCAAGTCTAAAGTTAAATACTTCTAAAACTTTGGTAAAGAGGATTGTGTGTCCATTGCTACTTTGTTTCGTTATGAGGTTCTTTCTCTGCACTAAGTACGAAGAAGCTTTACAAATATATTTACAATTTTCATATAAAATGTTTACAGCGAATAATTAACGCACTATAATTAAAGTTTCTGCGAAAGAGTTAAAATTTCCCATATGCTAAGTTTGCGCATGCATATGTCCTTTTTCCGAAGAATAATTGCTTTGTTTCGCATATCTAATTTATAAAACTCGCAAATCATCTCAATGCGCAGGAGGAACTTTCAACTTTTAAACGGGATGTTTTCTGTCTCTTCTACACTAACATCTTCTATAATTCGAGCTCTTCTCCCACGTTTCAAGTCAAGCAAGCGAACGTGGGTGAAAGTGGGTAGTTTTCAAGCAATCACGTGCAATAAAGAGATTTCTGTCACCTTTCTCGGACATCTGATCGACGGGAAAACGACGAAGCGAGAAAAGTATTAATACTTATAATCCCTTCCTTCTCTTCTGCCTGCAAAGCCGGATTCGTCGTGCAAATTTTAGTATGTCCATTCCTATCTCTTATTGTGCTTTTTATCTCACAATAATCTATCAGTCATATTTTTTATCATTTATGTTCCAAGTGCTTTTATGTTATGTTAGTTAACTTTGTCTCCGTGTCTTCAATAAGTAATGTATTTCGATAAAGAAAACTTTTGTCACTTTTTCATAGAATTAATACGAATATTAGCTTCCAAATTTAGAATTTACTAAAAGTCAATTTATATCGTTTTGCAAGATACGATACAAAATGTATGAAGATGGCCGATCAATACTCTCTTATCTTCTTTATACTGTATAAAGACGCGCGGTCTTTTATCGAACTTTTGCCATCGTTGAAATCTATCTGACTGTTGTATCTTGATTAATTCAACGGACAAAAAAGGTAGATTAAATTTTCAAAGTAATTTTAAGATTTTAGATAGTAAAGATTGGAACAGAGTTCTTTTTGCACGACGGATCTTAATAATCATCCGTGATGATCAATTTACGCTTACCGGACGAATCTGCCGAAGGCCAGCTGGCTCGGGGAATAACCGGTGGCAGAACACTGAGCAATAACAAGGGCAAACCACCCCCGATGCTCGGATTTCGTTGCGGAATCGAGGTGCTTGATGAGGCGCGCGACGGCTCCGTTGGCTCCTGCGCCAGTTGCTTCTCCAATCTCGCCAATTCCAATTCCAGCTGTGCCATCTCACGTCGATAAACTCGGTTTTGCACCTCCACACGATACTGTAATTCTCTGTTGTCAAAATACGACTATTTTTTTAGAAAAATATCGAACTCTAGCATATTTTAATAATTTTTTACGCAAATGTCAATTCTTGTATTTTTATAAAAAATAGTGATTTTATTAAATATGTATTGTATAAAATTACTTACATATTAACCCTAGTTAACCGTTTTTTCAAAATCAATGAAATTAAAATTATACACACTTAATATTTGAATTGTCAAATGTGTGCGTCAATTTTTAAACGATATTTAGAAATTTGTCAATGCAAGTGAGAAAGAAAATCTTGAAAATATACTTGTATATGACAGAGATATAGATTTTAAAATGGCAAAAATTTGAAATAGTTTCGCAAACGAGTCTTTCATAAGAAAATAACGTTAGTTGTATTAAATAAGTTCAATGGTTGTTCTTAAACTTTGCGACGCAACACAAAGTAATTTTTCTCTCAATGTTTCGAAGGAATGCGAGGGGATTCCAGCGCGTAGGTGCGATAAAGGGATATTGTCTTGAGGTTTATCCGCCCAATCGATTAACGTCCGTTAAAAGGAGGGAGAATCTCTTACTGATATATTGAACTGTCGTGTTTTATCTTCTTTCCGCGCGCGACTCTTAATTTTATTTTAATTTTCTCTATCTTCTCCGACGTTTTACGTCAAGGAGAGATTCTCTTTTGTCACTCACCTTCTGTCATCGGTGACAAATCTACGCGTGTTGCATTCGATCTTGAGACCGAAACTCTGCACAACCGGATCGGCTCTCTCGCCCGCTAGGATGTTTGCCAATTGGGGCAAAAAAAGCAGCGCCAGGGTCGCCGTCGTCGAAGCCAAGATCAGGGCAGTGATCGTGACGAAGGCCAGGGTTGCGCGGTCGGGCATCAAATTGGCTAGTACTACGACGATACTTGACGTGATTACTACAAAGTACACGCTCATACCAATGTATTGCGAGTCATTTAGGGCTGGAATCTTTACGTGCCTGAAACCATGAGCGATTTATTCGTGTATTATATATCCCTGTATGAACTGACAGTATTTAAGCTAACGATGCCGACTAATTCTTTTCAAGATGCATGGAAATATTTGACAAACTATTTTATTTATACCAAGCTTAAACAATAAACATTCGAGGAAAGCGATAAACAAAGCAGGATTATAGCTTAATAATCCCGCGAAAATTACAGATATGCGATATGAGAAATTAATTGAAATAATTCGTAAAATATGCAACAGATTATCTTCATTATTAAGAGAGCTGTTTTGCCAACTTTAAGACGTCTTTATCTTCGAGCTCACCTCGTTTCCCAGGCCATGTAGACTCCGACTACGAGCAATAAACCTTTGTAAACGTAGAGAGCACTTAACCAACCGTTTGTATGCTGCGAACGGCATACCTCCACCTGTGCAAGAGCAAATAAAGACGCGAGTTAATTACGGCTCGTTAATGATAATTGCGCAATCGTGATGTTCAGCTGTGGCCATTCACTGTGGCTCGTTCGAGATGACGAGACAAACCGGAACGTGTGTGTTTCGCATCGGTTACCTGAGGTTGATAGACGACCCCCCGGTCCTGCGGACTAATCTCCAGGGTCAGATTTTGCAAGTGACGTTGCATTGGGTCTAGAATCACCCATAATGTTACCACAACAACGTCAATCACCAGGAGCATGCAGATCAAGAATATCAGCTGGGTGTCCTGGAGCAGCTGGAAAGTACAAAGCGATAAATCTCTGCGATTTATGTATCTGACGACAGAATATTGATTCTGTAAGCCTGCGTAACTATTTTCGAAGTTCTCTTTGATAGAAATATTAGTTTTGCGTTTGATCACTAGATGTGGGAAGAGAATTATTGCCATGTCGACCAACCTTGTTCTTCACGACCCCGCTCCGGCTCCTGGTGAAGATCCTGTGTACTCGATAAGTCTTTGTGAACATCGAGCCAAAAGCCAGAGAGAAGCCGGCCGATAACAGATACACTCTCGCCTGTAAATTGAAAATACGCACCACGCGCTTATGTTAATCTCCGTTTTTAAGAGAAAATATCCCATAATATAATATATACGCAAGATATTACAAGGACGAGAAGTTTCCTGCAATTTCTAGCAAACAAATTCTATGATCGCTAATATAATTATCAATATATGACTGATATAAAATTGCACATTGTTGCACAATTTCGTTACTGTTGTATGTTGCATTTCGGAATGTAAAGAAATTGCATTTTATTTACCAACTGTAAAACATTATTTTTCTTAAAAAGGTTTTCAAATCCGGACTTGTTTAAGAAATGTATCTTTAATATAAAATTTCTTATATACTCCTTAATTTGTAAATCGCTCTCATGTGTATATTATGTATATATTAATGGAGATTATTAACATATATTATGTAAATCAAACTAATACCCATATTATTGATCGCAACATCGGGGACGTTAATATTCCCCATAATGGATGTTAATCACCTTGCACACCGTAGGATAATAACCGTCGCTGTCGGGTAAAGTGGCGTCGTCCAGTCCCAAAAGTATGACAGCACCGTAGACCAGGCAACAACCAACGGCCGCCATATTATTTAGCCTTGGGCTTGAAAGTTTTATGCTTCTGCCAATATCCAGGAATAATGAACTTGAGTGATATATCGTGACAATTTACATATAAATTCATTGATATATAGCAAGCGTCATTCCTAATATGAATGAGCTGTCTCTTCATTTATTTTGATTCGTAAAAATATATTGTCTCGGTATATTCTTTTACGAGTTTTTTTTTTACTAAAATAATTAATTTATATATTTAAACAAAATTAATCAAATAGTTATTCTAGAGAATAGATTCGCGTAGGGCAAATAGTTTAATAGATATTACTTAAACGCTTGACAGTTATTCGTGTGTGTTGTTTATATTGAGGGAATAATAAGCTTACTTGTGTTTACGAAAGTGGAGATTGAAAGCCAGGAAAGCAAGAGCTAAAGTAACACCAACACTGGCAATGCAGGTAACGGCGAGGAACGCAGCAGGTGCCACTGTCACCATTCGTAATCTGCATGCAATAATATACACGGTCACTCGGGCGGCTCTCATGGGTTTGATGAATTATCGACCGATGTTATCAAATGGCGTATAAATTAATTTAACACGTTGTTTCGCGATGTTATAATTGCTACCGCTATTACTTTACATAATTCGGTACAAGCTATGATTACATCACCGAAATATTGCAAATAAATGCGTGTTAAAACGATTAAATATTTGACGGCGATGATTTTGTCACGTGTCTATCCATTTACATAGCATTGATCATCTCATTAATTTTGCGATAAAATTAATAATCCTTATTTATATTATTAAATTTTAGCTTGTGTAACGATAAGATTAGACGCACGTGTAAGATGAAAATAAACGTTATAGGCCGTGTACTATAATCTTTTTTTATATTTTATCTATTTTTTTTGGTCACTTAAATATGTTTATTTAAGTATACAAATTAGAAGGAAATTATAGAAGAATTAAAATTTGATTCATCTAATAATGATTAAATGATTGAATTGAGCCTGTAATAATATTGATAATACATACCGGAAGACCCTGCGAGCCGCTGGCACTTGCCCTCCGGGCCATCTTGTAGCCACACACCCTGGACAGTTCATTATCAGTTTTCCATCTTCGGGAGTGTAGATAGCTATTCTGCTAATATTGTGTCCTGTAATCGAAAAACTTTTCGATCAACCACCCGAAGCGCGTGGTAAAAGTGCGCTATTAAATTGCAGTTTGGTTCCAGTAAATAAGTTTTATCTCAATAAATTTTCGATACAGAAATTAATAAGCATTATTAAAAATTAATTATTATCGTAAACTTTTTGGTTTAATAATTATTATTACACTTTGATTTTACTCAAATTATACAGCTTTCGGAACGTAAAAATCACGATTATTTCAAGAATAGAAAATTATAAAATTCTCTAACGGTACAGCGAAATAGATTTTTCGTCAGAATAAAGGCTATCGATTTTTACTTTAAGCTATATTTTTTGTCTGCTCTGCTTTATTTCGATTTCTTCTTTCTTTCTCTGCTTGTGAATGCTTTATAAAACTGCTCCGTTCGTGCGTCGGAAAATAAGTAGCGAAAAGAGATCGAGATGTCCAAAGGGACGTTTATTCAAGTTGGGAGTGTAATTTCCTCTCTCTTGCCGTTTCCGATTGTTTACACATCTACCGTTTTCTTCTTTTTATTGAAGGCAATTTTGAGCAGAAATTAATTACTCTATTAATGTCCCCGCAACTGATGATACGCGTACAATTAGGAAAAACTTTGATAGATAATCTGTGAATAAAAAAAACAACAGCGCCAAACAATTGGCAATTATATCTGATCAAATTTTTAAGTACCATTCAATATTAATTCCAGCAAAATGGATGTGACTTTTCAAATTCTGATGATTATCTTCTTATTGGAGACGGAATTATATTGCACATTGAAAGGGCAATGTTAATCAAATCGAGGTTTTAATTGCTTCTACCTCATTGTTCGGCATCTTTAGAAAATCCATTACTCGCCTCTTTTTCTCTCGTACTCATTCGACGATTTACCAGTCAAAGTCGATAAGTTCGGATATTCGCAAGGCAAAAGGTGGATTGGAGCCGTGAGAACTTTGTCAGCATTGCTATCATCGCACCTGAGGTCGAAATTTCAATGAAAAACCTATTCAAATAACGGATTAAACGCCATTCAATTAATCTGATCGATTCTGAAAGCGATCATTTTATAGTAAAGCGTAGCACGAGGAAAATTATGGCGAGTAAATACATTATCAGAAAATATATACTTGATTTTAAATTAATTTTAATTATTTTTTTATGATAATTGAATAAAATAAATTTCTCACTTTTTGTAATGTACATGTATTATATTATTTTATAATTCTATTTCTATTTTATTCTTTTTATTTTACTTATAATAAAAAGCATGTAAGCAAATGTATCATCCCTTTTATAGTGATGCAACATTAGTCAAATACATATATAATAATATCGAATCCGCAATAGTATCATATGAAGAGAATATGATAATTTGTTACAATTTGACGATAGAGATACTATATCGCTCAATTTGTACTTTACTCGCAACATTATGCACATTTCGATTCAGTGACGATGCGATATCTAAATTGCCTGGAATCGATAAGCTACCGCATAGTTCTAGGCAATAATACTAATTTGATTGTAGATTACAACTGAATAGAAAAATTGAAATATCCTGGAACTTGCAATTGTGGAGATACTGATATATCTCTAATGAATCTTTAAGCAGACCTTTTTTTTTCATGTTTTTTCGGCTTTGAAATAAGTGACAGCGATCCGGAATCCGTGTCAAGTTCTTAGAAATATAATCGATAATTGTATTTTTTTCACTGGTACACATATACATTTCAATATATAATTAGTATATAATATATACACTTGAGACATTACTTTTATATCATAAATGCTTAACAATACTGTTCAATAAAGTATTTTGTATGTGCACGAGTATAATACTTATTGTTAGTCTATAAAATTTAAATGTAATATAGCGAGAAAGATTATGTTCAAGAATAATAAAATTATATTTAAAATTTAAAAACATAAAAAATAGATAAATTCTATATAGACTTGAAAAATTTGCTTCAATAATTAAAGCTGCTAGATCTTATCAATTAAAGAACACGGTCTCCTCAGAGCATAGAACTGTTACGCAGATTCAAAGTTTCAGTAGCTACTTATCATATAACAAATGCGCGAACCGAGTGCTTTTGCCAATTTGTTGTTATTCTCATTATATAGAGTTTTAGAAACAGTCCAAAGCACTCTGTACATTCGTCGACAAATTTCTTTTATAATACCAAGAGTGGTTAGTTGTTTTGCGTCAACTTTAATTCGCGAAGAGCAACAAAGAATAGAGTCATGTCGTCGGATTTATTCTTCCTGCTAGAAACAGCAAACGAGCGAATGCTTGCAATTTATGCTACCTATATCGCCTTTTGTTTCTTCCCGTGTCGCGTTTATGTGAGTTTCTTTCACGTGCAGCTCAAAGCGTTTAAGTCATTTTTCACAAGCTATATTTCGCGAAGTCAAATTTACGATAAAATTTTATTTAGAATTTTATCTGCGTGTAATGTAAAAATGTATCTTTAGGATTAAATTCTGTATATTTTATCTAAAATTTGAGAAAGAATTTTATCGCGAATTTTTTCGCAAGTCCTTTCGCGTCCTGCATCCAATAATTTGTTCGTCTTTTATTGCGTCGCGTGAGCTCGCACATTGATCTCGCGAGCTCTCGCGTGCGGCGCGATGGCGATTATCATTTGGTAGCGAGGAAAAAGAATTAGTGCACGTGATTACATACCCGTATAATAAATTGTCGGCCAAAGAACATTGTATCCGCCCTGGTCATTTGAACGTATAAGCGGCGGATAAAGGGATCTGTGTCATTCGCGGTTTTATAGGTGAATTTATTTTATTTTATTTTTTTCTCTGTCCTTCATACATACATTCCAGCATTGGGAGGCAATTTCTCCAGCGAGAAACCACCGTAATATTTCGTGATAAACCCGCGACAACGCGGCACGCGGTGACACGGTGACTGCTCTTGCGAGTTTAATCCCGCGTGCAAATTGAGCGCGACAAATTTTAGAATGCACTTTGAATTTCTCCGTAGCGGAGCCAATAGATATATGGTACAATTTTGTGTATCAGAATTATATATATTATTTATATATTGGGATAATAATACATGTTTTTGAATAACTTTCCGATACTACGATACAATAAAGTAAAAAAAGCGAAATAGACCACCGCATACAGTGGTCGATAGTGATTAATGAGAAAGCAGCGGAAGTAACAAAATGAAATAATGATACGATAAATGTTAGTGACGTAAACCCGATTGCCTAGATATTGCTCGAGATATTCGAAATAAGCGACACGTCTATTTGGTCGATTCATAGATATGTGATCAGACGATCATTTTGTTGTCATAAATAAAACGGAGTTCAATCGAACGCTGCAGTTTCCCGCTTGCACCCGATTTTCGATACAACGTAATACGCAAACACACAACTTGGTCTATAATTTATCTCTCTTTTGGAGATACTAAGTCGAATCGATATTCGTGACGGCCCGCCGTATAAGGAATCTTCCCTATATCGTATCATGCTCAGTGTTCTTCGCAACCCTCGTTGACCTATATGAAGAACCGTCATCCAGTCAGTTCAATCCATCGCCCTCGATAAATTTCTTTCATCCATCATTATATGATCAAATGAGGATAACATGATAGGTACGTGATTTCGATCAATCCACACCATTTAATATGTTGTACGAAAGGCAGACGATTATATATATATATATATATATTTCAACTTTCTCTATATCTCTTTCGAGAGTTCAATATATTGACAACGTGAGGCTTGACTATTTGCCGTGAAATTTGATAGATTGCAGTAGGAGTTTGACAGCTGAGAACAAATGCGCGACGTGTGAAAAAAGAAAGGAAAGACAGGTCACAGGTGCTAAACGCGCAGTCGATACTATTTAATTTGTCCAAACAGCAGAGCCCTTTGTGCGAGTCCTCTTTGTAGTCTCTATTGGCGCCGGAAATTCGTGCCAGTTTGTTGACTTCATCTAAAATCGATGCCATCGACGCGGTATCTGAAAAAGTAGTCGCATCTTCGCGATGCTCCGATCAGGGCTAACGAGCTAAGCGATGAGGGTATGTGATGTACCATAGACGGTAGTTATCAGAACGGCGTGAAAATGGCAATAGGTCAGAGCGAGCTTTACCGAGAGAAATAGGAAATGAGAATGTGTCACCCGTTTTCGACGAAACCCATACCAACCCCTTTTGATGAATCGTCTAAAAACTTTCTTAATGGAGGAGAACACTTCGCAATTGTTTTTGTTCTAACTAAAACATGACTAATGATTTTTCACCGCGATACATGGAATGAAAAATAATTTTCGATGAGTTTCGAAGAGTTTTTTTTCCTCATAAAAATATTCTACGGGAGCTCACCGAAAACACATTGTAGGATTATGAGCGGTGGAAATAAAATACTTGGTGTCTCTAAAAATACCATCTTGCTGCCGAACAAAGAAAGAGAAAGAAAGAGAAGTAACGTTAAACCTTGCGGTAACGTATCAAGAGGGTCTCAAGTTTAAACAAAGCGCTTTGGATTATCTGCGTCTCAATTTCTCTTTGTTAAGCTGACTAGTGGCAAGAGAAGGCAGATGCTAATATTTGTTGAAAACTTTACAGAATCTCTTTTAAGAGCCATAGGAGTAACGGGTTCCGATAACGAGCGTTGCTATTATATTCTTCTAATAATGAGAGAATTATTTTGTTTACAATGTTTATAACTCGTTATAAATCAATATCTTTATTCGTGCCCAAAAATACAACCATGGAGTTACATCAAAAAATTTATTGAGGGATAATATTTGATAGATGAATGATATTCTTACGATCTTTAGCTTTGAAAAAAGAGAACATTTGTATCTTACATATATGGCATAACAAAAGACAAAAAAGCTGAGCAGAGAGGTATTTGTCTTCTTTCTCTCTATATTGAAGCTTTTAAGAGATTGTTTAGGCCGTACCATTTTTAGTCGAACACAACGCGGGTATAGACACAATCGAAGAAGAATAATGAATCGCGACCTTGG